TTCCTAGAGTGTATATAGGATAATTTCCTGCTTTAGCTGGTAAATGAGCCTACCAGGGGTAGGACCCTGCTAGATCTGCCGTTCACAGAATAGAGCTGGTGGGAGATGCGGTGGTCAGAGACTGTCGGGGGCACAGGGACCATGAAATGATAGAGTTTTCAATACTCAGGGACGCAAAGAGGGCCATCGATAAAACTTCTACCCTGGACTCCCACAGGGCAGATTTTGGCCTACTCAGAAGACTGGTTCAGAGAGTACCTTGGGAAACAACCCTTGAAAACAAAGGGGTCCAGGAGGGATGGACTTGCTTCAGGAAGCAAGTCTTGAACGCACAGGAGCAGGCTGTCCCAGTGTGCAAAGCTGGTGGGGAAGACGACCAGCCTGGCTGAACACGGAAATTTTAAAGGAAATTAGGGGGAAAAAAGAGAGCTTACTGACTATGGAAAAAAGGGCTGGCTACTCATGACAAGTTTAGGAATATAGTTAGGTCATGTAGAAAGAAAATTAGAGAGACAAAGGCACAACTTGAACTCAATCTAGCCACTTTTGCTAGGCATAACAAGAAGTACTTCTACAAATACATCGATAACAAAAGGAGGGGCAAGGCAAACCTCCATTCTTTATTGGACATGGGGGGGGAACATAGTCACCAAAGATGAGGAAAAGGCTGAGGTATTTAACACCTTCTTTGCCTCAGTTTTCAACAGTAAGACAGGTTGTCCTCAGGACAACTGGCTTCCAGAGCTGGTAAACAGACGGGAAGCCGAATAGCCCCCCTGTAATCCAGGAGGAAACAGTTGGTGACCTGCTGAGCCACTTGGATACTCACAAGTCTATGGGACCAGATGGGATCCATCCTAGGGTGATGAGGGAGCTGGCAGAAAAGCTTGCCAAGCTGCTCTCCATCATTTACCAACAGTCCTGGCTCTCTGGGGAGGTCCCAGATGATTAGAAGTTGGCAAATGTCATGCCAATCCACAAGAAGGGCTGCAAGGAGAATCTGGGAAACTACAGGCCAGTCAGTCTGACCTCAGTGTTACAGGACAGATCATCCTAAGTGCAATCACACAACACATACAGGATGGACAAGGGATCAGACCCAGCCAGCACGGGTTTAGGAAGGGCAGGTCCTGTCTGACCAACCTGATCTCCTTTTATGATCAGATGATGCGCCTGGTGGATGAGGGGAAGGCTGTGGATGTGTCTACCTGGACTTCAGCAAAGCCTTGGACACTGTCTCCCATAACATACTCCTGAAAAAGCTGGCAGCCCATGGCTTGGACAGCAAGGCTGGTGAAGGGACTCAAGCACAAGTCCTCTGAGGAGAGGCTGAGGGAGCTGGGGTTTAGCCTGGAAAAGACGAGGCTCAGGGGAGACCTCATCACTCTCTACAACTACCTGAAAAGAGGCTGTAGGCATGTGGGGGTTGGTCTCTTCTCCCAGGCAATCAGCAGTAGGACAAGAGGGCATGATCTTAAGCTCTGCCAGGGGAGGTTTAGGTTGGATATTAGGAAGAAATTTTTTACAGAGTAATCAGACATTGGAATGAGCTGCCCAGGGAAGTGGTGGATTCACCATCCCTGGGGGTTTTTAAGATGAGACTGGATGTGGCACTTAGTGCCATGGTCTAGTAACCATGGTAGTTTTGGATCAAGGGTTGGACTTGATGATCTTGGAGGTCTTTTCCAACCCGTTTGATTCTGTGAATACATTCCAGTATTAATATGAGCTACTAAAGAACAAAACATTTTGATAGAGAATGAGAGGAAACTGCACTGACCAAGAATAAAAGGATCCCTTTTATATATACAAAGTGCTCAGAACACCTGGAATCCAAAGTACTACTTCTGTACGGTAATTTTTAGCATTTTTATGGATTTTACTGTGCAGTGTGTGATAACTTAAAGCTGCTCTGGCTGAGGTGATCTTGATGACTTAGACAGATGGTTGAAATTTTTCAGATATCCAGAGTTACCTGAATGTGTCTTGACTCTCCTCTCACTGCAAAGTAACTGGACATAGAATCCTCTATGTTGTACAGAAAGATATCATTTACCAATATAGACTACTTAGGCTGCCCTTATATGGGTGAAAATTTCAGTTGCAGTAACATGTAGAATGTAGTTGCAGTAAAATGTAGATGGGAAGGGATCTCTGGAGATTGAGAGGCTTAATTTTCTGCTTTAACTTCAAAGTTAGATCAGGTTGCTTAGGGCCTTGCTGAGTCAAATTTCAAAAATCTCCAAGGTTGCTTGGAGATGCTGTTAAATCTCCATCCTGTTCAGTGCTCAGCTACCCCCATGGTGAGGATTTTCCTTATATCTATTTGGAATTTCCCTTGCAGCACTAAGTCTGTTGCTTGTTGAGCTTTCACTGTGTTTCCCTGAGAATAATCTGCCTCTACCTGTTGTATAACTCCCTGTCACATAGGTGAAAGCAGTAGTGGGCTCCTTTTCGTTCTCCAGGCTGACCAAGCTTAACTCCCTCACAACGTCTTTCATGTCATGTGTCAGCTCTTTTACTATTTTAGTGGCTTTCCTCTGCATTTGCTTCAGTTTGCCAGTACCTCCTGTGCTGCGTGGCCCAAAACTGCAATATTCTAAACATGGCCTTACGAATGCCAAGCAGAAGGGAATAATTGCTTCCCTTGGCCTGCTGTTTGTGCTCTTGCTTATGCAGCTCAAACTACAGTTAGTTTTCACTGATTTTAGGGTGCACTGCTGGCTTGAACTTGCTGTCTCCTAGGGTACTATTTCCAAATCCTTTTCTGCAGAGCTGCTGCCGGTCCAGTCTGCAGCAATAAAGCTGTATGGGATCTTTTACATTTGTCTTTGTTTAACTTAACAAAGTTACTGTTTGCTGCTTCCTCCAATCAGCTGAGGTTCTTCTGAATTGTGGCCCTCCCCTCCAACATGTTGACTGCTTTCCCCATAATTTGCCGAGGATGCTTTCTGTCCTAGCATCCAAATCTGATCATGTTGGCCAGTATCAGCCATTGAGGAATACTGCATCTAACCAGTTGGCATTTAGAATTATTTACAATACCTCTTTAAACTTCATGGTCCAAGGAATTTTTTTGCCTACCTGTTCAGTTCACATCTCCTCAGTTTGACAACTGGAGTGCTATGGAAGATAGTGTTAAAAACCTTCCTTAAGTCAAAGCACTGGCAACCACCAATTCTCCCTGGTCCACAAAGCCACCATTTTCTGCTTAAGGCAGTCAGGTTGGTTGTACAGGGTTTACTTTTAAAAGTTTGTTGTCTAATTCCAGTCACATTTATGTTCATCATGCCTGGAAATAGTCTCCTTTTAGGACTCACTCTACATTTTGTACAGCAAACGAGGGGAGACTCACTACTATCTAGTTCCCTGGATCCTTTATCGTCTCCTGCCTCCACCTTGCTTTTAGGTTGGATTTTGTTTGTTTGTTTTTAAGTTACCTGTTCCCTGTCATAGGCAGTTACCATGACTTTCCAAAGATGGTAGCCAGCAACCTTCCAGAGACATCAACTGGCTTTCTCAGCACTTTGTATGTTTGCCATCTGGTCCTACATAGGTCCAGCTTACCTAGATAGTCTTCTGATTTGATAGCTACTCTCCCTCAAACTTTGCTACCAGATGCAGAAACCTGGGAAACCTGATAGCAGATCTTGCTGGTAAAGACCATGGTGTTGAGTACCTCAGCTTCTTTCATCACTAGGTTGCTTCCCAGTTTAGCAGCTGAATTACACTTTCCCTAGTCTATCTTCTGCTCATGGTAGAAATGTTTTTTCTTGCCTTTCACATCCCTCTTCAATATCAGTTCCAGACGAGCTTTGGCCTCCCTGCTTCAGTTTCTGCTTGCCCAGACAGTGCATCTGTATTCTCCTCCAGCTGCCTGTCCCCACTTCCCCTGTACATATATTTCTGTTTCATTTGAGCTCTGTCAGTGAGAAGTCCTGTGTACAGTCAGCTGGCCTCCTGCTGTGCCTGCTGATTTTCTTGCATGTTGGGAAGGCTTATTTTTGTGCTCAGAGAAGAGAGTTCAAGAAGATGACTGGCTGTCATGTGCTCCTTTGTGGCTTCCCAGGGCATTTTGCTTACCATTCATTCCCTGAGCAATCCCCAGCTTTATCTACTGTGAGTCCAGAGTCTTTACTCTGCTGCTTTCCTTCCTTTCTTTCCTCAAGACTTACACTACAATTTCACAATTACTGCATCCAAGGCAGCTGTTGGCTGTCTTATGCATGAGCAGTTCTTCCTTGTTCATGAGCACTGGATCCTGCACAACCCCTCCCCTAGAAGGCTGTTCACTGCCAGCATCAGAAACTACTCCCAGTGCATGTCAGAAATTCCCTGGATATTTCACACCCTACTTGCGCTGATGTTCCAGGGAGGTGTTGTGTGATTTAAGTCCTCCACGAGAACAAGGGGCTCTGAATATTGGAAAACAAGCCTAGGATGATGTCCCATTTACTGTGGGAACTGAAAACAGGTTTTTCTTAACTATTTGTGTTGAACCCCAAGAAGCTGCTGCAAAGATATACATACATATGGTATTTTGATTTTATTTTGAAATGAGATACTTTATTTTTGATTCATTTTGAATTACTGCTGTCATGCAGTCAAAATACTAATTTAGCTGATGTCTATCGTGCAGCTGATGATGTAAAATAACCTGGTTTTATATTGGATGAATACTTTGGAATCCATAATATTTTTTCAAAACTAATAAATTTGCACAAGATTTGAGTAATTTTTTTCTCTCTAAGATTTCTAGTTTCTAATTATCCTGAAGTAATTAATGTACAACTAGATGAAATATTGCTTTGGATTGCACTGTATGGCTCTTACATTCAGGCCATACAAATAATATTTGCACATATACTTGTGCAAGAAACAAGTCCTCATCTTATTTTTTTTTTTAATAAGTGACTAATAAGAAAAGATCTTGTCTGTTCATATTTATCATATTTTGTTTCATAGTAATTGGTGGCACTGTGCTTCTTAATCTCTTTTAGTTGGAAGATGGGGAAGAAGAGCCGAGTAAAAACTCAGAAGTCGGGTACAGGAGCCACAGCAACAGTATCTCCAAAGGAAATGTTGAATCTAATTAGTGAGTTATTGCAAAGTAAGTTTTGGTTTTATGCTTTTCTGGGAAAAGGGATGGCGTGCAAACCACTCAAAAACATTCTCTTGCTGAAGCCAATGAGTTATATTCATTTTCTTTAAGTGGCCAAGCTTGCTATTTCGGAGTGCTTAAATTAAGACAGATACTCTGAGATACATACTGAACTGTCTCTGTTAGTATATACCATTACTAGCTTATTTAAATGTGTGTGTATTGGACATACCATATTTGTGGCACCTTTTACCTTTACATCTCAACACAAGTATAAATACTGGGTGAGATTAGATTTTTAAAAAACTAGATAATTTGACATTGAAACTTTATCAAAAATGTTTTTCTTGTAGACCTCAAGAATGGCACTATTTCCATTTATCATTTGAACAGTACTTTGAACTGATATTAGAGTAGAGAAATTAACTGTGTGAAGCAGCAATACAACTCAGTTCAACTGCACAGATATTTTTGTCACTTACATAAATTTTTTGTTTTGTTGCTGTTAGGAAACTTTTCGTGGTGCTTAGTTCTTGTGTATAGACCAAAGATTTGTTTCATTTGTTGGGGAACTTGGAACTCATCCAGTATTTCTAGTAAAGATGAAAAGCAGAGAGTAATTTCATATGATGATGCTAAAATACTGTCTTACACTCTTTCTACTGTCATTAGTAACTGTGCTGAGCTATGTTTCTTTTTGAAACACAAGTCCAGATTTTAATATCCTGGACACATCAAAATGTTGCTTTAGAAAAATTGGAATTTTTCTTAGCATTGCTCACAAAGAGAAGACAAGGAGTTGTCAAAGCAGTTTGATGCTTATGCTATCATTGGCCTCTGCTTTGCTACCAAAAATAAAACATAGATCTAATTTGCTAAGCAAAGACAAGTATCAGCTGTTCTTTTTGTCAAGCTTCCATATTTTATCAGTGCTAAGATTTTTCAAATCGGTTGAGCAAGGTAATCTTCAGCTGTCCACTTGGATTTACATGGCTTAGATCAAGAAATCCACACACTTGGCATTTAGAATATTGGCAGAGACACCGTGGATGTAATCTAAAGCTAAAGCATGGCTTTGTGTTCCTTTGCTTGTCCTTCCAGTATCAATGCATCTGTGAAAACAGTATTGACTAGGCAGGTCAAATGTATGTACCAGCAAATTTCTCAATTACTTAAGGTAAGCTCTGTGCTATTGTTGTCTGCTTTCATTACAGCAAGAGTGATGGCAAGCAGGCTAATGTAAACAGAATGCTTTGCTTGAATTATTGAAAACAGAGACTTTTTTCGTTGTTTGTCTTATTTGGGATACTATCTACTTAATAGCCTGGTTGTTTACCTTTTTTTCTTCCTAGCTTTTTAGACATTTGCTCTTTCTTATGTCGTAAAGAATATTAAAAATAAAATAACTTCAGGTAAGTTATACTGTGAAAATTTCAAAAGCCTGAATTACTAACCTGTCATATAATGGGATGTTTTTAACAGTGGAGATCATTTTATTTGCCATGTAAACATATTTGAAGGACAAGTAGTACTGCAGTTCAGTTAAGTTGCTGTGAAGCCATAACTCTGATGTTGAAATGATAGAATCTACTTTATTAAAGAAAACATTTTTATTTGGCATTTTTACTTCCAGAATGCAGCAGTCCTCCCCCAGGTCCTGGAAAGGAATGGGAAGAATATGTACAGATCCGTTCGCTTGTTGAGAAAATTCGCAAAAAGCAAAAAGGTAAAGATGAAAGACTGTAAGATAACAATGGTTCTGAGTATTGATTTGCCTAAAGAATTGTCTGTTAACAGCAAAATGGAATGTTCTTTGTCTTGCCGTTCTTATATAAACATTATGCAATCCTATTATTTTGTGTCAAAAAAGAAATCTTTACTCTCTGACGTGCAGTTGCGTTTTACACTTGCAAGTGTTTCTGAAATGTTCTGGTGGGCATGACCACTGGCATTAACCATTTTAATATTCAGAATTCCGAATGATTATCACAGGCAGGTGATCCTGTGAGAATTCTAAGTAGAAAAAGGAGCTTGAGATTGTGATAAGAAGACAATATGAAGGACTAGAAGTAAAAGTCCTCAGAGAATAATAGGCCTTTTTGATTCCTGATTGCCTAGTCTACTGCTCTGCCTCTATAAATCTGGGCATTCTGAACTTAATTTTGTAACTATTTTATTCTTACATCAACACTTTACTGAATGTTGAAACAGTTTCAGCAATACAACATTGTGACATTAAGTGATGACAAAAATATGTAAATGCACAAAATAAATACATCAGCTAATAAATCTATCTACTATAATTCAAGCACATAATTAAAATAAAAAAATGCTTATTATACCACATCTAACATGGAGTTTTATTGCCAGCTTTCCTAAATTTAAGGTATACTTATTTTTCAGACTAGTACAGTTTTCTTCCAGTATGACCTGCTACAGCTCGGTGTTGATGATACTTTTTTTCGGATTATTTTTGTCTGTATTTGGAGGCATGCTTTAGAAAAGGCTTTTCATGTAATTTTAGTAAAATTAACCTCTTTTATGACTGATGTGTTTTCATGGCTGAGAAATGTCTTTTTAACCTTGCGATGAATAGATTTGGGTTGGACATACCTGAAAAGTCCTGAAACAATTCTTTCTTCTCTGGTATTTATACAGTAACAGCAAAAAAGCCAGGTTGCATATAAATGGAGCTTGACTGGTTCATGGCATTACTTGATAAAGCAAGTACTTAAGAGGCTTGAAATTCCCCTTTCACACTGTTTTAATATATTTGACTGATGCATAAAAATCTTACTTCATGAAAGGACTTACAAACCTCTGAACATCAGTTATTGGCAGAGGGCATATGGAAGAATAAATGGTACTGTTTGAGTGAGTGCATCCTGTAGTGGTGTAGAGATGAACTTGATCCGGTTTTTTTTTACTGTGCCATGACTTCTATAAACTTATGGTACATGTCCAAGTTTCTTTGATGTAATACCTGTGTTATGGTAAATCATAGTTGAGTTTATAAGAGCAGAGTTAGCATTGGGGTTGGCCTGCTCACTGTATCTTTCTTCTGCACCAGAAAGATCAAACCATCCATGGGGAAAATGGCTGCTGGCAGAGATGGTAGAATTAGTTAATAGTATTATGTTAATTTTTTTCCCCTGAAAGATGCAAAACCTACTAAGCACAACAATGTTGACATACAATTTTCTTTTAATGTAACATTTCTATGTACATAGTGAGTGTGAAAATATGGTGTCTTTCAAAACTATTTTTAGTGGAACACAGTAATACTAAGCAGTTTTCGAATTCAATAAAGGCTTTAGACAATTATCAGAGGAAGTATCAATTCCTATTGGGAACTCTGAGATGTACAAATTAGTGTATTTTGCCAAAAGTGTCATACTTTGTGCTTTTCTTGACTAGAATACTGGGTTGCAGAACATGAACTAAAATCATTTTCAGTATAGAAAACAATTTGAAAACTGAGTATTTTTAATTTTTAAAATTTTCTTTGACTCTTTAGGAAAATATTAAATAATTTTTCAATATAGATTTTCTTCTATATAGGATAGCTATATTTTGTTCAATATAGAAACAACTTGTTCTTCAATAGTGCTTAAATTTAAAGGACCTGATCCTCTCTTTAATTTGGACCACATTGTATATGAGGAACAGAGGTAGAATTTCAAAGATGCTTACAGAATGGCCCCAGATACAAGCTGGGTGTTAAAAACTTCCAGTAGCCTTATACAGTAGTAAAAGTTGGAAATCAAAAGGAAAGTCTTGGACAGTATAAACACCTGCCAAGTTCTGTAGAAACTATGCAACTAGTCTTCTAGATTAGTGAGGTCGTTACATTCCAAAAAATACTTTATCAATGTTGAATTTTTATACTGCATCATCAAAGACTATAGTTTTAGATGATACTTGCACTTCTAAGTTAACTGCAGATTTAATTGGTTCTGGGGCTTGAAATGCAAAATTTGGAGGCAGGGGATATTTTAAATACACTAATTCTCCTTTCTTAAAATCCTTTTAATCTAAAAACATATTTAATCACCTCTGTTTAACCAAAGTGTCTTCGGATGTAAGCATCTTGTTGATGACATTTTGTCACTCATAAAATAGCTGGAGCATTCAGGGGCCTTTGGACACTTTTAAAGTGATCTGCCACTAGATTTTTGGGTTGAAGAGAACACACAGAGGCAAAGAGGTACAAAAGGAGCTGGCTGAGTATAGCCAGGAACTGTTATGGAGAGGTTCAAATCAGATGACAGTAAAGGGGAAAGCTGAGGAAATGAATGAAGCTTGTAATTTCGCTGGTGGATGACATGCCTGTCGGAGAAGCAAAGTGTAAAAATTTGCACAAGCAAACTCTGTGATGTCAGGAGGATGATCAGTCTCTAGATATTTTAGTAGATCCATATGCTACAGGAAAAGGCTAACTGCCCTGAGATCTGCTTATCACCATTCAGAGTGCTGAATTAATGAAATTGCATCTTGCCTCTCAAATTCCTCCTTGTGTCTGTATCAAAACGTGGTGGTGATTGCATTTATCATCAATATTAAGCTTGGAAATATTTTCACTCTTCTTATTTAAAAGGGAAAGGGGAGGAGAGCTTCATATTTCATCACAGCTCAGTTTAGGTGGTTGTGTTTTTAAGAGGAATGGTAAGCCAGTTTGGCACAATATTGAAGTTGATGAAAATTGGGTATGACATTTGTATAGTATTGAGTAACACTTAACAAAGACCAGTTCTGACTCAGCTACTTCAAAGTAGCACTGCTGTGGGATAGCAGATAACTTTTTCCATGGGCTTTTATATTGAAGTTCTTTATCTTTCTAGATCCTCTTATTTCTGCATTTGTTTTTTAATAAATTGTGTATATAGGTTTGTCTATTGTCTTTGATGGAAAAAGAGATGACTACTTCCCTGAATTGATAAAGTGGGCAACTGAAAACGGAGCATCCACAGAGGGTTTTGAAATAGCTAACTTTGAAGAGGAGGGATTTGGTTTGAAAGCAACAAGAGAGATAAAGGTGAGCATGTGAACATTTGACTTAGATTAGAAAATCGTGTTTGGAATATATCTGCAGAGCTCTGAAATGTTCACCACCTTCCCCTCCCCATTTTTGCTGCTTGTGAAACTGCTGTTCTGAAATGTTCTCAACTCTGCTTTCTTGAGAAACTAAATTATTTATAAAATTGGGTATTATTTTTTATGACTAGTGATAGTATTATGAATTTTCAATTAGTCTTCCTTTTTCTTCCTCTGTATTGTCTATACTCCTTACCTAATCACCAGAGTACTCTACCCTGTTTATGCATCCCTTTCTTCCATGTTTTCTAACTATTTAGTCTCTTCTTTCATGTCCCTTCTTTTAAAGAAGTGGTCTTTTTGCCTCAGAAAAAGGTATTTGCAATACCTATTTTCTAGTGAAAATGAAAAAACCCCAAAATTACAATAATTGTAAGGAATGTCTTTTTATCAGGTGAGGAATATAGACACACACAGTTACCTAACTGTTAAAAAGTAAGCATTTAAGATTGTCCTTCCATTCCCATTTTGCAGGTGTTACAGTTTTGAAGACCAGTCAGCTGTTATAGTAAGAATATTAGAAAATGAGCATAGTATATTCATTTTAGGGCCTTAATAGCTCACAGTTCATAAGCTCCTAGAAATCCTGAGCAGTTCTTCTAGAATAAGAACGGCCAATGTGAAAAAATTCGACTGTGAAAAAACATTCGACCACATAATTATTAGCGATATATTGTGTCTGATAACTTTAAAGTAATGTGGCAACCTACATGTTAGCAGTTCCAAACTGAAGCACTTTATTTTGTAATCTTACATGTCTGTCTTCAAAGGTTTGTGTAATGAAGATTAGAACATTTGGTTAGCACAATATGAAACATACCTTGTTTGTTTAATTCGAGGTGGAAGAGAAGAAGATTTTTGATTCAGAATATTTTTTATTAAAAACAAAAGAGAATACAACTTGTAATTTAAAGTCAATGTACATTTGAGAGACTTGGCATATCATATAAATGCTAACTGACCCTCTGTATTTTTCCTTTCTGTAGGCCGAAGAGTTGTTTCTGTGGGTTCCTAGAAAACTGTTGATGACGGTTGAGTCAGCTAAAAATTCAGTCTTAGGTAAGAGCTTCAGGAAGTTCTTAAGCAAGAAATTAATATCTATAGGATCATTCAACAGGAGACTTTCTTTTTTTAGCTGATCTTCTTTATTACAGGACTTGCTTGTCATGCCAACCATCAGGTTTGGAATACCGAGAAGCTTGAAGTGTCAGTGGAATTTAAATTTCCCAATTTGTTTTTGACTGAGTGCACTATCTTCCACAAGTGTGTGTTATTTTGAACACATACAATGTAGCTTGTATAACTCTTGGAGATAAAATGTTCTGAGTACTGAGAGTATTGTTCTAGTTTCTTTATGTCTTCTATCATGTGTGTGCACAAGGCGTTTGCTGTATTAAAAAACTGGCAGCACAATACAGTGTAAGCAGCTAAAAATTTTAGAAACCTGAAAAGCTTTTTTTTTTTTTTTGTTAAATTCTTACATGTTATTTCATCGTGTTAATTTAAGGTAAATCTAAGGTTATATTTTCCATGGACAGTTAATTTAGTGCCTCACCTTTTTTGGTTAATTCAGGATCTCTGTATTCTCAAGATCGAATTCTTCAAGCCATGGGCAATATAACGTTGGCATTCCATCTCCTTTGTGAGAGAGCCAACCCCAACTCTTTCTGGCTGCCCTACATTCAGACACTGCCCAGTGAATATGATACTCCTCTCTACTTTGAAGAGGATGAAGTACAGTATCTTCAATCAACTCAGGCCATACATGATGTTTTTAGCCAATATAAAAATACAGCTCGGCAGTATGCCTACTTCTACAAAGTTATTCAGGTAAGCATCTTAAATGTAATACATACATATTGTTCTCATGGTCCTTGAGGAAGGTGTGAAAACAGTGATACTAAATAATAGCACAAGAGTGTTGCTTTTAAAAGTCTGAATCATTAAAGCAATTTTCCACTGGTTTTTTGAACTGCTGTTAAAATTTTGCAGTTCTGTAGGTTAATGAGTATATAAGAATGTATTTAGTTGGTTGAGAGAAGTGATTACAGCTCTTTGTTTGAAACCGGGTGAGGCTTCACCTAGAATACTGTACAATTTTGGGCCCACCAGCACAAAAGAGATGTTGACAAACTGGAATGAGATCAGAGGAGGACTGTTAAGATGTTACTTGCTTCAGCCCTTTATCCATATGGGAGACTGAGGGAGCTGGATTTGTTTGTTCTGGGGAAAAGGAGATAAGGGATGATCCAGTCATTGCTTTCATCTTGCTACTGTTAGCTGGTTTCCAGAAGTTTGCCTATGGGAAGTTTTGCTACGTGACCTGCAGAGATCTACAACCTATGCCTCTGTGATTCTTTGAAAAAAATATAGTTCGCACTTAACAAAGTAAAATTATAATTGTTAATTGACAGAATAAAACCATTGCATATGTTGTATTTCCAGTGACCGTGGATTAACTGTTTTTTTCTGTTCTATTTAGCATAATTATTTTGACTGCTTTCAAATACAAAGATAAACCCATCTGGTAACAACTTGAGTATGGAGAGGCTTGGGATGGGTGAACTTTTCATTGTGTTCTGAAGTAATGATTTAAATTGAGTCTCTAAGATAGAACTGTGTTACTATGACTGATATCTAGACATAATTGATGTTGTAAGTGAATGGTAAAATGTTGTTCTCAAGGGAGTGCTCAATGTCCAAACATCCAAAGCTTTTTGTAGCACAATTTGTGTAAAAAGCATATGACTCTGTGTGCTGAATTTTCCCAACAGTGTAATCTAGAGATATTTTCTTTGGCCATAGGAGAGATGAGAAGACATAGGCAATTCTATTCTCCTTCAGTGTTACCAGAGCTCCAAAGCTTTTCTATTAACTGTTTTAATTCAACAAAGGTTATACTATTTTATGTACCTGTTTGGTGTTTCAAGAACTGAGTTTCAAACACAGTGTCAGTTTGCTGAATGTAAGGAACGGAGGGATACATTTTGAAAACTCAAGTAGTTGAAAAAAAACTGGTGAAAGCCAAGTCAGATGCACAAGGAGTAGGGTAGAAACAATGTCTTTGATGTCAGAAGGGAACAAAATTCTTTCTTCCAGGTATCACAATTCAGGAAACGATAGTTCAGTCACTCTCTTTTCCTGCCATGTGCTATCCTATGCTGCCAGTCCACACTTCACCTTCCAGCCTTTCACTTTGTCTCTCAAAGTGTACTGCTTGAGCAAACAGAGCTTCTAAATGTTGTGTCTTTAGAACATCTTTTTACCCATAAAAAGGTCTTCTGTTATTAGCAGAATATTGTGGAACATTATCCAATTCTTCCAACTGCTATTCTTACTCTTCCAGTATTTAATCAGGTAGCTGAACTATCACTGTGACTAGTTCCATTATTTTCATTGACTAGTCCTGTGTGTGAGAGGTTATGTGACCACAACATTAATTAAAAAAACTGAAATACAGTTTTACAGATAAATGAGATCTGGAATAAAATCCTTGATTTTGACTGCTTTGTGTACAGTATTTCAGAACTTCTTCTCAGTGACTGATGAATATATAAAGACTGATATCAAAGTGATGCAAACACAGCTGAAGAGAGTAAATAAAATGCAGTAATATGACATCAGTTGAAGCATGAAATATCTGTTATGTGAAAAGCATCTTAAATGTTTGACAAAACATTTTTGTTTGAAAGTTTCCTGTGGCACATAATCTGTTAAAAGGATAGCAAATGCATGCTATTTCTCTGTTGTCCCCTAAAGTTAACGAAGGATTGTTTGTATAGCGTTTAAGCTAATGTGGTCAAAGTAACATCTCACTAAAAAATAATTTATATTCCACATCAAAGTCTACTGTTGACTGTTAAGAAAAGGGACAGTTTGAACAAAGAGAATAATGTACATTTGATGACTTCAGGGGCAGAATGTCTAGAACTCCAGTGATGGGGATGTGCTGTACATGGTAACAAGCCTTTAATACTGTGCACTGTTATATTTTCTGGTTTAAATTTGCAATTCTATAGAAGTTGATATGAGAGCTCATGAGGAAGACTTCTCAGACTGATATTGTTGAGACTGATTTAGTTCGGTTTGATCTGCAGCAGTGGGAAGCTTTTGTGGAAATAATGTTCAAATAAATGGCTATCTTCTCTTTGAACTTTACATTAGTGTACTCACGAAAGTATTTAGTATACTCTTGCCTTTTGTATGAACTGTTAAAATGCAGATTCTGGTCAGATGTGGTCAGAAAACTAGATCAGATTTTTTTTTTCTTATTCTCCTGAAAAATGCTTTTATTGCTTGTTTTGTGTTCTTGTATAATATAGATGTTGTTTCACACTGAATGTGAACGTGAAGGTAGATCAAGTAGGAATCATTTACTTTATTGTCTTTTCTTTTGAGAAGGAGATGTAATAAATATTAGGTAAAGTGTGTTCTGGTTGTTTGGTGCCTTGCTTCAGCACTGCCAAGTAACCACATTTCAGCTGAATGTTTCTTTACTAGTATTCAGTAAATATCCCATTAGAAAGTTATATAAATTCAGCTGGCTTCAGGAGTGCCAAGTGTACGTACTGGGTACCTATTATTAATGATTTTGGTGAAAATTTTTCCTAAGTTTTAAAAATTTTTGATCTTTGTTTCTGCTATCAAAAATAAGAGCTTGTAATTTACGAAATGGTTGAAAAAAAAGTTAATAGAGAAAAAATAAAAGCCTCTTTCTTCCCTAAAAACAAAGTGCCATTTTTTATTATTCAGAAAAGCTAAAATTAATTTTAGTATCAGCTTGCATGCACTCATTTCATGAACAAAGTTGACCCACAAAATACTGGTGCTAAGTGTAATTCATGAGCATATGGAAAAGGGAAGAAGTAGCAAGAGAAAAATTTGTCATATAAATGAAAACAGCAAAGCAAACCAACTTAACTATTAAAAGCAGTGTACTCTGTAAGCTTTATGTAAGTGAATGTTTGATTTGGTTGTTTACCATCATTTCATTCAGTACTACTACTGCTTTAGTGTAAGTCTTTTAATGAAAGCTGTCCTGTGTGACCAGGATTTTGATACTGCTTTCAATATGCAGACTAATTTTTTTTTAAGAGTATAAATACATTTTTTGTAATACAAAAATCTTAAAACTATACTTACTTTATTGATAGTTGTTCTACTGCAGAAAGTAATACTAGCAGCATCTTAAAATAAAAGTTGTTTTGTTGATATTTGAAGGTACTCAAAAAGGGACTATTTTGTGCAGGCAAAATATTTTAATTGCAGCATTTTTAGTCTAAAAAATATTTCTGATGGCGTGGGGAATAAAAGAGTTAACAAATCATTTTTTCAAATGCTTCATTTTCTTTTCAAATAGAATTGATAGACTGTTGTTAAAATAATTTGGCTTCTGATAGGTGTGCAGTTTTAAACTTTATTTGAGAAGTGCTGTTTTGTTTCCTTAAATTCTTCATAAGGGTGACTGCTGCAGTTCTAACTCTTTCTCCAAGTGCTTAGTCTGGGTACACATGAAGAATGGGCAGATTTATGAATTTCACAGCTGTTGCAAGCTAAACTGTTGTCTGGTTTGATAAGCAGAAACAGGTGGGATGTTAAACGGACAAAAATAAACCCTTGAGCATGTTAGCCAGGCTCTATAAACCACACTGACACCTCTCTAAACATGTGTAATTCGATAACTAAAAAATAGTTAAAAGTTCTTACAGATGTACTTTAAAGGTGCATTTGGCCTCTGCGTTGCTATCAAAATACAGGGAATGGTCAAAAGACTGCTTTCATTGCTGCAGACCTGTAGTTTGCAAGATGTTTTTGTAGTTTGTTCCAAAGAGAAATTCTGTAAGCTGCAGGGTTTTCTCTTCTCAGGGGAAGAGAAAGGAAGGTATGTATGTGACTTCCATTAACATTTATGGGCATTGCATGCCTGCTGAAGGGTGAACAAAGCCCAGATATTTATGTCGTAATGTTAAAATTTTTGTACGCTGAAATGTGGTATAATAGGCACAAGAGGGAGCCATATAGTTTACAGACATTCACAGTGAAATTATATTCCTAAAGAAAACACAATCAAGTTTGAACCTCTTTTGAAAGACTATACAGTGGTCTTCATGTTTGATTTTTCCAGTGTATCTGTGTGCCCCTGATTCAGAGGGGCTTTTGTAAGTTAAAACAAGACATGAAGACAAAGAGTGCACTTAGAGAAGGTGGAAGGGCCCAAACTATTTATAGTTTGAACACAATAGGTCTGAAGCAGCATTGTATCTTTTCCCCAGCTCTAGTAAAGGCTGTTATTACCTGCCTAAATAAAAGGCAATTTTATGATAATTTTAGTTGACTTTTAAAATCTTTGAAGTGATAAGTCTGAAACCAGCAGAGCCCATTAGGTAGCCATAGCTTTTGCCAGGGCAGCCAGTATATGCATTCAGTGGCACTCTATGTGTAAGTGGTATCTGCATGTAGCTGCCTCTCATGTGCTGGAAAAAAGATCAGTTTTGCAGGACTGTCCAGGATGGCAGTCTGGGATTGATTTAGAGAGTGTTTTCAGCCTGTAGTCTTTGGTCCACTGAGGGACTGCAACTTTTCGTGAAGAGCACCAGCAAGCTATCTGTCCATAAAGAAAACAAACAAACATCCAAACTCAAACCAATATGGGTGACATCGTAGTGGACATCTGCTATAAGCTGCCTGATCAGGAGGAAGGAAGGAGGGGATGAGGCCTTCTACACAGAGCTAAAAATAGCCTCATGTTTGCAAGGCGCTTCAACCACCCTGGTATTTGTTAAAGAAACAACACAACATAAACATAAACAGGGCATAAACAATCCAGGAGG